TATAGCCTATTGCATCTTGTTTATATTGTTCACTAGTTTATTTCACCATTGTGATAGTTTAAATATATCCTTGCATATACCATATAGTATATCTCTTTGCTAGGATATATCACCTTAGTTATATTGCTTATTCTTACTCATATCACATTGTATATCTATCTTGCAAGAATAATTTGTTATTTAGTTTTTATTGGCATTTAAATCAGATTAGATTAGCATAAACCCTATTCCCCCCCCCCCCCTCTAGGGTTCTTTCCTAGTGACCTTAGGGTCTAACAGTGAGAAAGGTAAAATTGTAGGTATTGGTAATATTGGTAAGATACATTCTCCCATAATTGAGGATATTTATTTTGTTAAAGGATTAAATAATAACCGTCTTTGTATTAGTCAATTAAGTGATAAAGGCTTTGATATTTTTTTTAAACCGGATAAATGTATTGTTAGTATGAATGATAAAATCATTTTTATTACTTTTAGAAGATCTAATGTTTACATCCTTGAGATGAATGAGCTAATAGATCAAGATGTGAAGTGCATTGCTGCGATGGATGATGATCCTTGGATTTGGCACAAGAGACTTGGATATGCTAACATGAAGTTAATATCTAAACTATCCAAGAAGAATTTAGTAAGAGGTCCATCAAACCTAATCTATATTAAAGACTCTATGTGTGAGGAATGTGCCAAAGGTAAACAAACCAAGAATTCCTTCAAATCCATAAATGAGGTATCCACTTCTAAACCTTTACAATTATTGCATCTTGATCTTTTTGGTCCTATGCATGTTGCATCTCTAGGAGAAAAACATTATGTATTTGTTATTATTGATGATTTTTCATATTTTACATGGGTAATTTTTTCTTGCAAATAAAGATGAATGTTTTAAAGAGTTTTCTTATTTTATAAAAAAACTGAGAATAAAAAAGATTCGAAAATTGTTAAAATTAGAAGTGATCATGGTGGTGAATTTAAAAATAAAATTTTTGATGAATTTTATGCTCATCATGGTATAACTCATATGTTTTTCGCTCCTAGAACACCTCAACAAAATGGTGTTGTTGAACAAAAAAATCACACCATACAAGAGATGGCACACACAATGATAAATGCTTTTGATTTGCCTAAGTATTTTTGGGCGGAAGCCGTGCATACAGCTTGCCATATTTTAAATCATGTTTTAATTAGCCCTAAATTTAAGAAAACTCCTTATGAACTCTTTTTTTTGGCAAAACCTCATATATTGTATATTTTCATATTTTTGGTTGTAAATATTTTATATTAAACACTAAAAACCATCATGATAAATTTGATTCAAAAATTGATGTTGGTATATTTTTGCGATATGCATCTAAAAGTAAGGCTTATAGGGTCTTCAACAAACGAACCCTTGTTGTTGAAGAATCTATAAACGTTACTTTTGATGAGACTAATATTAGTTTGCACGATAGTTTGCCTAGGGATGATGATGATATTAAGGGAGGATTGGAGCTTTTGCAAATTAATGACAAACCCTTAATGGATGCACAAAAGGATGGGGAAAGCAACAACATATAAAATCAAGAAGAATTCCCCAAGGCATGAAAATTTGCACCGAATCATCCAAAGGAACAAATAATATGGAGTCCATCTCAAGGGATTCTAACTCGCTCAAAAGTCTTAAGTGAGTGTGGTAATGTAGCGTTCTTATCCTAAATAGAACCTACAAAGATTAATGATGCTTTAAAAGATGAGTTTTGGGTTTTAACAATGTATGATGCACTAAACAATTTTCAAAGAAATATTGTTTGGAAATTAGTTCCTTGACCTAATAATGTTCATGTCATTGGAACTAAATAGGTTTTTAGAAACAAACTTGACGAACATGGCATAGTGAATAGAAATAAAGCTCGTTTAGTTGTCCAATGATACAATCAAGATGAGGGAATAGACTATGATGAAACTTTTACATCGGTTACAAGATTAGAATCTATTAGGATATTTTTAGCTTTTACTAGTTTTAAAGATTTCAAACTATTTCAAATAGATGTTAAAAGTACTTTTTTAAATGGTTTTATAGATGAGGAAATATATGTTGAGCAACCACCCAGTTTTATGGATCAATCTTTTCCTAATCATGTTTACCGGGTCCAAAAAACTTTATATGGGTTAAAACAAGCTCTTAAAGCTTGGTATGCATCTCTAGTTTTCTTCTTGAAAATGTTTTTTTTAAGAAAAAATTGATAATACTAGTTTTGTTAGAAAACAAAAAATGATTTTTTTTAGTTCAAATTTATGTTGATGATATTATTTTTGGTGTCACTAATGAATCTTTGTGCAAGAACTTTTTAAAAGTTATGCAAGATCAATTTGAGATGAGCATGATGGGAGAGCTTACATTCTTTTTTGGTCTCCAAGTCAAGCAATCTAAAGATGAGACTTTCGTTTCTTAAAGCAAATATGCTAGAGAATTAGTGAAAATTTTAGATTAGAGAGCTTCAAGCAATCTCCAACTCCATGAGTACAAGTTTCAAGCTTGATGCGGAAGTTAGTGGTGAGGAGGTAGACCAAAAGCTTTACCGAGGTATGATATGTAGTCTCCTTTACCTTACCGCTAGTAGACTGGATATCATGTTTAGTGTGTGTGTATGTACATGTTTTTAAGCTTCTCCTAAAAAGTCTCATTTGATTACGGTTAAAAGAATTAACAAATATGTTAATGGCATAATAGATCTTAGTTTATTTTATCCAAAAAGTACTTCTTTTGATCTTTATGGTTTTTATGATGCCGACTTTGCCAGTTATAAGGTAGATCGCAAGAGTACGAGTGGGACATATTAATTTTTAGGTAACTCTCTTGTCTCTTGGACATCCAAGAAATAAAATTTTGTTGTTTTATCCACTACGAAAGCAAAATACATTACCGCCGGCTTGTGTTGTACACAACTTTTATGAATAAAACAAAATTTGGTTGATTATGATTTACATTTTGAAGACACAAATTTTTTTTGTGATAATACTAGTGCTATCAATACTTCAAAAAAATTCTGTTTTGCATTCTAGAACCAAACATATAGATGTACACCATCATTTCTTACGTGACCATGTAGAGCAGAAAGATGTATCCCTTGTCTATATTGATACTAAATCTCAATTAGCAAACATCTTTACCAAGCCTCTTGGTGAAGAAGATTTTTGTCGCATAAGAAATGATTTGGGCATGTGCCTTCTTTGAGTTTGTTTGTTTGTTTGTTTGTTCGGATTATCATTTTCATATCCCACTATTTTCCTTTACACACTCATTGTCATAACATGTCTAAACATACAAAACTACCAAGAGGAGTGGTTGGAAGAGACCGGGGTCAATTCCAAGAGGAGTGGATTGGTAGTAATGCCTAGGGAGAGGCCGTAAATCCAAAATACTTGAGGAATGTAACACGGGTAGGTCAACACTTGAGGTGTATTTTGTGGGTTTTTGCATGTATTTTATTTTGTGTACCCCATTTTTGAAATCTCATCATTTGTGCATATAGTTAGGGGGAGAGAGCCTTATAGATATGGGGAGCAACTATCTATAAGCTATATATTCAATTTTATTTTGCTCTTGAATAAGGGTTGGTTGTTATCATCAAAAAGGAAAGATTGTTAGCCTTTATGTTTTAATGATGATTTATAACCATTATTATTAGTACTAATTGCTTGTTGAGTGATATTGTAGATTACAAAAATATTAAGATCATTAATAGCTTTATTGGAGGATTGGATGGATTATCAAGCTACAATGATGAAATCAAGGAGGTGGAGGTAAATTGGTGAAGCAAAACTATCAAGAGCACAATATCAAATTTGAAGCTTCATCAAGAATAAAGAAAATATCAAGACTCAAGCTATGTATTTATATGTGAGGAATATTTGTATATTTATTTCTCTCTAGTGCTTAATGTAGGCAAGTAGTTTGATAGATTAAATTTGAAGCTCTTGGGATAACACAAACACACCTTCAAAACTCATATTTTGATAATTTTGCTAAACAATAAGTTTTCACAAGTATAAGGACATTTTGGCAAAATCATTTGTCAAACAAGTTTGTCTTCTTGTTTAAAAATATTTTCTAGAGTTTTACAAATTTTGGAAGTTGTTATTTTTTACAATTTCCCAAAGTCAAAAACCTGTTTTAAAAATCTATGTATATTTTATATCAGTTCGTGGTCGACCGAACTTGGTTCTGCGGTCGACCGTGAAAAGTGCAGAGAGTTTGGGAACTAGGTAGCTTCTCGCGGTCGACCGAACGTGGTTCGGCGGTCGACCGTGAAAAGTCTAGAGAGTTTTGGTTATAACGACTAGTTCCTGTGGTCGACTGCCAATGAACTCTGGGCGGTCGACCGTCGCTACTGTAACGGCTAGTTTCTGCCAGCTTTCAGATTTTTAGGATTTGGTCTTTTTTGTCTTTTTCTAATGTTTTTGGCCTCTTCCAAGGATTACCTATATATACCCAACTACCCCATTTAATTCTTAACCAAAATTTTGCAAGAGAAATTGATTGAGCTTGTGTTCTAGTGTTATAAAGAGCTTCACTTTTCAAATTCCCTCAATCTGTTTTCACACTTGAAAATCCCACATCCCAAGTTTCAATTGGAATCTCCTCTCCTTGCCATAGGGCTGCTGTAATAGAGCTTCTTATTGTTTTTTGTATTGTGTGGAGTGCAAGATCTTGTGAAGATCTACTGTGTGGTTGTGAGATCTCAAGAGAAGATCATTGTGTAAAAGTTTTGGCTTCTAAATCGGGTTGTGATAGTAAAATTCTTCTCGAGAGTGGGGAGCAAGGACGTAGGTCGGAGGACCGAATCTCATGAACATATCGTGTGTCACAATTAGCTAACTATTTCCTAACTCATCTCTCTTATCTCGTTTTAGCATTTTATTTTATGGTGTATTGCATTGTTTTATTTTTAATTGTATATTTATTGCCCATAACCCTATTCACCCCTCCCCCCTCTAGGGCTATTCATCTCTGCCACTCTTGCCTTTTAGGGGGCCTCTAGTTGGATCTGGTGTCGGCACTGCTGCCAGGGCTGCTATAGATGTCGGCGGGATAGGTGCGGGTGTTGTTGCCATGGCTACTGGTGTCGGTACTGGTGCTGCTATCGTGGATGCTTCGGCCACCCAGGATGCTGCCTTATAAGCTCGGGCATCCTTCATGTCCATGTGCTTGTGAGCTTTAGCCATCAACTGCTCATAATTGGCGACTGGCTTCTTGGTTAGTGAGTTGGTCAGTTCATTGTTCTACAGGTTGGCTATAAGGGCAGACATAGCGACTGCACTGCTAGGATTATTAACCACTAGCCTCTTCGCCTGGAATCTCTTAAAGTAGGCTCAAAGGCTCTCCCCAAGCTCCTATCTTATCTGCATCAACACATGAGGAGGTAGCTTCTGCTTAGTGTAGGCTAAGAAGTAGTGAACAAACTTCTAGCTGAGCTGTTCAAACCTGCTGATGGATTTCTTCTCAAGCGTTCCAGCAGAGTTTGGCGCTCTCTGACGAAGTAATTAGGAACCACCAACAAATGATTGCTTTGGGTGCCTGGAGCATGCTCATCATATCATAGTAGTTATGGACATGCCCAGCAGGGTCTCCTTCGACCTTGTACTTCTCCACATGAGGAATCTTAAAATTCTCACATGGAGCATTCATGATGTCACGGTAAGGGGGGTATTCCCCCTGATGGATTCAGTGATAGGTCGATACACCCTATCATATCTCGATGCCCCATGGGTGGCTGAGGGGACTGGAATAGCATGCTAATGATAGAGAGTTTTTGACATCCCCCCCGCGGCGTGCTCCATATGGCGATTCGATCTAGGGCTCTCACTGGTGGCTTCAGAGCGTTAAGAGAGATGCTAATGAGGATTCGCTTGGTGGGTAGACTGGTATGGTGGTGGGGTTGCGTGTTCGACGTGATCCCTCCACTATTTAGTGACAACATGATGAGTCCGATGTGGGACAACTTGCTGCACTTATGAAGGGGGATGAGTCGCTTAGCGTTGGTTGCATGAGGGGGGATGAATAGCAGAGTTAGCTTGTTGTGGTGGTGGAACCGGCTGAGAAGCTCGCTGGTGAAGGTTGCGAGCTGCTGTTGGAGGGAATAAGAGATCTTCTGAGTAGTCTCCTCGAGTTGGGCTTGGGTGACATAGCCCTAATGCGTTCCACATGGGGTGAATGTATTAACCCTTCGCTCAGAACTAGACATGCTTGATCGAAAAAGAGAGAAGTCCTGACAGTGGGTGACAAATTGTTGATGCTAGATAATCACACAGATAAGTAAGTAGGAATAAGGTTGATTAGGGGCCGCTAACTTCTCTGAATATCTAATTTTGAGTAGAGCTATTTTTCCCTGCACGTTTAACAACTCGTAAGAGGGTAGGGTCTGGTTCCCTTGTTGTTCCTCCGATAATCAAGTTATCTGGTTACTTGAATGAGAAAATGGTGAACTGTAGTAGTTCTTAAGTGCAATGGTAAAGAGAATGTTGAGAAAAAATGTTTTCCTTTATAATGAGAATAGTTTTCCCTTTTATGGCAAAGAAATAAGGGCATTTTGGTCTTTTCATCCGAGTTAGGGCTGGCAGCTAAGTCAATTTTGACTTTACAGGTGTCAGTCGCAGAGTGGGCGTGGTCACTTTGGCATTTAATGAGATGGTGTGCTGAAAGGTGCCGCCTTTCGAGTCGGTTTTCATGAGATGTCGGCCAAATAATTAGTCGAGTAGACTTGTGGTGAGTCATCTTTGACAAGAGGGTCGGCAAGTACCTCCCTTTGAATCGACTCTGGTAGATGTCAACTCGGCGAGTCGACTGAATCGGGACTTTGGTAATCCCAAGCATCGAGTCAATCGAATTAGGCGTAATGACGGATCCTAATCTTGGCGATTGAAAACACCAAAGCATACGACGTGTATAGCCGTGCCTCAAACAAGGAGTTATGTATGGGCATCGAATAGGGAGGTATGTCTGTGTGTTTGGAAGATTATTTTCGTAGAGGAAATATCAAAAGTAGATGTAAGACAGGAACATGACGATAAGATTATGCTTAGTAGGGGTTAAGAACTAGGGGAAAATGCTTCTAACC